TTACCCGGAGTCATTTCACCGATCAGCCAGGACATCCAAGGATTCCACTTCAGGAAGAGCAGAAGTCTCTTTTCAAAGGACGTCAAAATTCAAAGGTAGGTTTTGGAGAGTGATCTAAACCAGCTTCCTTCAACCCCATGTCCTTCAAAGTGGTGAGATCCCCGCTTTGTATGCATGGAAACTGAAAGTTAGAAGGATCCAAGATCTGGATCCTAAATCATCTTGGGCAGCTCAGTTTTGTATCATAGTTATCCTCACTATGTAACTCCTGGTGAGATCTTCAGAAGAAGCAGAGTTCTGTGGTGGCATTGATGGTTCAATGGTGGCATTTACTGTTGCAAGATGCAACGTTTTGGGGCACTGATTTAAAATATCCTCAGCCTACTTACTCCCCAGGAGCAATAGCAATTCATGGGTTGGTCTCATCTCAACAATATGGCAGCGTTGAGGAGGCTGCCAAGGAGTGGAGGAAACCATCTTCCAAAGAGGGAGGAATTGGTAACAATTAATGTTGACATCTCAGATGTTCCTCCTTGTTTGAGGAGGTGCGGCTTTCAAGACTGGTTGCTGGAACTCAGCAACGGGGAAAGGTTATATTCTAAAATAGAATGACAGAGTTGGAAGGGTCCTTGGAGGTCTTCTAGTCCAACCCCCTGCCTAGGCAGGAAACCCTACATCGCTTCAGACAAATGTTATCCAATATCTTTTTAAAAAACTTCCAGTGTTGGAGCATTTATGACTTCTGGAGGCAAGTTGTTCCACTGGTTAATCGTTCTGTCAGGAAATTCCTCCTTAGTTCTAGGTTGCTTCTCTCCTTGATGAGTTTCCATCCATTGCTTCTTGTCCTGCCCTCTGTGGCTTTGGAGAATAGCTTGACTCCCTCTTCTCTGGGGCAGCCCCTGAGATATTGGAAGACTGCTATCATGTCTCCCCTACTCCTTCTTTTCATTAAACTAGACAAACCCAGTTCCTGCCACCGTTCTTCATATGTTCTAGCCTCTGGTCCCCTCATCATTGCTCTTCTCTGCCCTCTTTCTGTTTCTTATCTTCTTTGCTCGCCTATCATGGCAAGGAAGAGTCCACAGCCAGAAGGTACCTCTTGAGAAGTTCATCCAACAAGTAGACGTTCTCCTCCGCAAACTGTCTATTTCCTTCCTTGCCTTTAATCAAACACAGGAGGATCCAGACGAAGCGCCACCTATACCAGACAGGTCCCGCTTGCTGGAGTCACTGTCCTTGGAGGAAGAGATTGGAGATGAAGGAACCATTTATTCAGCCGTGAAGAAGCCTCCTTTAGATAAAAGGAGCTTGGAGAAGTCAAAAGAGAGGGACAGAAGTTTGGGGGACCCTCAAGCAAAGGAACCTGTAGGGCCAGGCCAAGGTCTTTCCTTTCCTTGCCAAAGGAAGACAGGGACCATGTTTGGATTGGCCAAGCGATCAGACACACCATTCACCATAAAAGTGAATCCTGCAGAGAGATCTCAAGCAATCACCATTTATCCCAGGACTGCCTTGGGCCAACCCCAAAACTTTTGGATACCTGCTGAGCCCCCCAGTTACTGGTCCACCTTTCCATCTTCCAATAAATCAACCATTCCTAATGACCCGCCTTCAAAATTATCTCCTACGTTGCCGAATAAATCCAAAGACTCAACGGCGTTCCACAACTCTCCTCTTGGGATCAACGCGAGGTCGGTGGGCAACAAGGAACACGGCCAACTAAACCAACTCAAATCCTGGTTTGAACATCCAAAGGAACGCGTGGATGAGGAGATCTTTCAGTTGAAAAACCAACCGTCTGCCTTACGGGTGGACAATACAACGAATACTCAGGAATCGTTCAGGTGGGCAAAAAGTATCTTCCTTGGCTCGGAAAAGCCGCCCAAGACTTCCTTGACCACGTCCAAAGGGACTTTCGATCAAATCTCCGCAAAGTTTGGTCATGTCTCCAAGATTCAGACCAAGCCTGAGAGCCCGTATGAAAAAATAAATGATCCTTACTCTCAACGTTCCTCGGTCACAAGTCAAGCTGCATCTCTGGAGAATCCCTATGAGCAAATCCCCTACCTGCCGGGGAAAAGAATAGAAGGAAAAGTCACCCAAAAGGTACTGTCACCTTTAGTATTCACCCCAGGTTAATCGGCAGGGTTTCAGGTGGTACGTAATAGAATAGAATAACAGAGTTGGAAGGGACCTTGGAGGTCTTCTAGTCCAACCCTCTGCCTAGCCAGGAAACCCCACACCACTTCAGACAAATGGTTGTACAATCTCTCCTTAAAAACCTCCAGTGTTGGAGCAATTTATAACTTCTGGTAGCAAACTGTTCCACGGATTAAATGTTCGAACAGTCGGGAAATGTCTCTCCTTAGTTCTAGGTTGCTTCTCTCCTTGGTTAGTTTTCATCTGTTGCTTCTTGTCCCGACGATGAGTCTTTAGTTTCAGAGGTGAGCAAAGCAGGGGATGGCAGGTCAATTAAAAAGAAAGGGTTATCTAGGTTTAACATCCAAAATCCAGGGAGGGGAGGATGTCGTGGAGGAAGGAAGAAAAGAAAGAAGGAAAGAAAGAGGAAAGAAGGAAGGAAGGAGAGGGAGAGAGAAGGGAAGAGAGATAGGTGAGTGGGTGGATGATAGATGGACGGACGGACCAATGGACAGAGAGATAGAATCTCCTGAATTTGAAAAAAAAAAGAAAAAAAACCACGCAGCATCCGAGCATATGGAGAGCCTTCCAGCCCCTAATGTTCCTGGTTTTCACCCTGCCAGGAATCTCCAGAACTGCATTTTCTGGGGAAGGGTCTTTCTAAAAAGACCCCTCGGATCAACCTCCCTCTGTTTTTTTTTCCCCGGCAGAGCGAGAAGCCCAGAAGGTTCCTCTTCACAGACAAGAAGGCTAAACCTTGAAGGAAACCGATTTGAAGGCGGCTCCCAACCCAAACTCTCTTCCCAGGGCCACCACTCAAGGACCCGAGGCAAAGTTGCGACGGAAAATAACCCGCCGGGATGTCTCAGACCCCCCCATTTTGGAACGAAAGCCATGCCTGGACTTTGGGTCACTTCTTCCTGCCTTCCAGGGGCTGCACACCTTGGGGGTCTCGTTGAGCATAGATTGGGCAGAGAGGCAAAGACTGCGAAGTGGGGGGTGGGTTGGATGAGGTCCCTAAAGGGTTGTACAGGTGCTGGAGCTCCGGACTTACGACCACATTTCTGTGGCTGAGTGAGACATTCAGCGAGTTCTACTGTCAGGGCTCTTAAACAAATTGCTCTAGCTGTTAAGTGAATCAACTGTTCATTAAGTGAGTCCATCTTCCCCCACTGAGTTATCAGAAGCCAGTTGGGAAGGTCACAAATCTGTCTTCCTTTGATTTTTAGATCTTAACTTGGATAAACTTTTTTTAAAAGAGGTTGTTCTATTGTCATTTGCTGCCTGGTCCCATAAATAAATGGCAGTACCTAGAAATTTTGGGGAGACCACTGACACCCCTTTTTTTATTTTTTTTGGCCACAGATTGAGCCAATTTTGGAAAAATTAGGTGCATCGGAATGGCTGCTTTCCTTCAAAACCAAAAAAAAGACCCCTATTGTCTTTTTTACGTGGCTTCATCTAGGTTAAAAATCAGCGAATAATCATAATAACAATAATCACCACAAACAACAGGGTTTTTTTTTCTCAGCTCCGCTTCTCTAATTTCTAACTCTTTTTAATCATGATTGTATCACCGTTTGAACCAACGATTGTCCCAATTTCTTTCCTGTTTCGACTGGCTTGCTGTACGCCGCCCGGAGTCCCTTTCCGCGTGAGACGGGCGGCCAAATAAATCGGATTAATAAAAATCAAATACAAACAACCAGAGCCTTTCCTTTCAAATGGGAAGCCAAAAAAAAAAAAACCACCCAAAGGTCAGTAAAACCAGCCGACGTTTTTAATTCTGGATAATTTACAGAAGCCACACAATATGTAGCCGAGCCCTTCCAGGAAATTGTGTGAAACTTGTGGTGAGGATATGATTGTCATCGTGCCTAGTTGATTAGCCAAGAACCCGAACCGAGGCAGGTGGGGGGGGGGGGGGAATAAAAATAAAAATATGAAATGCAGCTGGTTTCGGAGAAAAGAGAGAAATCACAGCGGTCACGCATCCAACGAGGAAGACTGCCTCGGCTGGGTTCCCCCGGGGTTGTGCGTTGGCGAAAGGGGTAGGTTGTGTTTTGTGTTCCCTTTTGTTTTCGTCCTTGGCTTTCGCTCCTTTCGTTTATTTTGATTATTATTAATTTTTTTTTTTTGCAATCGGTCAGCTTAATGCAATCAGGATATGAGGCAAAGCCAGAATGCCGACCCAGGTTTCTGTGTGGTTGTCTCCGTTTGGGAGAAGCATTGATTTGCTAATGCAAAATGTCTTTTGGGAGGCAGGAGAAATATTTCAAGTTTCATTAAGGGGAAAAAAAAAACCTTTTCCCGATGTCCGGTGGATGAAGCGCCTCGGTTATGGGCACCGGCGTTTTTTTTTTTTTCATCTGCCGTGCGAATCCAGCGGGGAGGGTCGCCTGGTTTTTAAATCAGGGAACCTCCTTCTCTTGGGAGTTCCAGTGCTTTGGTTTCATCAAGTCCTTTTGGGGAGATTCAACATCTCCATGAAGTTGCCCTTGGGTTTTAAGTCATCTTTTTGCTCAGAGGGCTAGTATAGACACGTATAAAAATGACAAGAGAGCCACGCGGGAGGATTCCGTGGCCCAGTTTTTAAAAAAGTAACAGTCCAGCAAGGAGGTGTATCCCACGAGGTGACTGGCCCGTTGCGGGTTGTTGTTTTTATAAAAACAAAACAAAAACAAGTTAGTAATAATAATAATAATAATCCAGGGATATTCCAAAGATCTTGGGAAATAGTCCTGCATCTGCTGGGCTGGGGATTCAGCAAGTCCTTTACTGCAGCCTCCAGGAAAAAGGAGGAGAAGGAAGGCAGGAAGACGTCAGCCAGCCTGGCTTCCGGTGGTTCAGCCCCATGGGTTTTAGATTCGTATGTGGAAGGTGCTGTGAAGGAAACGGGAGGGAGGGAAGGAAGCGGGAAGAAGGAGGGAAGGAGAAGGATGGCAAACAGGGAGGAAAAAGGGAAAAAGGGAGGGAGTGGAGAAAGGGAGGGAGGGAAGGAAGGTAGGAAGGAAGGAAGGAAGGAAGGAAGGAAGGAAGGAAGGAAGGAAGGAAGGAAGGAAGATGTCAAACAGGGAGGAAAAAAGGAAAAAGGGAGGGAGTGGAGAAAGGGAGGGGAGGGAGGGAGGGAAGGAAGGAAGGAAGGAAGGAAGGAAGGAAGGAAGGAAGGAAGATGTCAAACAGGGAGGGAGGGAGGAAAGAAAACAACAATATGAGAGCAAGCTAAGTTGAGATCCACACGCCTTAACGTTGCTAAAGATGAGAAACAAACCCTGGTCTGGACTGTCAGATTGCACTAAAACACAACATTTCATATCAAGCCAAGTTGGCCCCTTGCCCAAACACCGTTTCTTCAACCGACTTGAATGGGATGTGGAGTGTTCCACTATCCTACAGACCTCTCTCTCTCTATGTGTGTGTGTGTGTGTGTGTGTGTGTGTGTGTGTGTGAAAGTTTCAGCTTCCACAATGATTTATATGAAACCATTTCCTGCTAAAACGTAGCCAGCCTTGTAGAACGGAACACTTAGCTCCTGCCAGCTGGGAGTGCTAATGGGGGCCATTAAAATGCCCAGGACTTCAAAATGATCCTTTTTTTTTTCAAAAAAAAAAAAGAGAGAGAAACGATCCCTCAGGGAATCACATTTTCAGAATCCGTAAGTGCTTCTGCCATTGCCTGGAAGTTTGGGCCTGTGGGATTTAGTACCGTTGGAAGATCGTTCGGTCAGATGTGGCTGGTTATTCTCAAAAAAAAAACAAAAAACATTTCCTTTCCGATATCTATTTCCTTTCAAGTTGTCCTCGACTTGAGTCAAGGAAAGCTACCCAAGGAAAAGATCTCCTGGTTGGGTGCAGCTTTTCCAAGTCTACTTCTGACCATCTCTAACCTATTCAAATCTGACCGCAGATCTTTAAACCAGAGTTCTTCAACAAGATCTGCGGACTCCAAGTTCCAGAATTCCAACAACAACAACAACACTGGCTTGGGGAATTCTGGGAGTTCAGGCCCACACACTTTAAAGTTGTCAAGGTTGAGGATCCTTGATCGATGGTGGAAAGGCCCAGGTGGGATTCAGCCGGTTCTGACCAGTTCTGGAGAACCGGTAGCGGAAATTTGGAGTAGTTCAGAGAACCGGCCAATGCCACCTCTGACTGGCCCCGCCAACCTCATCTATTCTCTGCCTTCCATTGAGTCCCAGCTGGGTCTTCTTTGGTTGCCCTGCCCAGGAAAACGGAGCTGGAAAGCAGGTTAGTGGGGTGGGGAGGGAAGGGGGATTTTGGAATAACCTTCCCCTGCCACGCCCACCAAGCCACACCCACAGAATGCCACACCCACCAAGCCACACCCATGGCTGATCAGCTGGGTCTCCTTGCGTTGCCCTGCGGAGGAGAAGGGAGCTGGAAAGCAGGTTAGTGGGGTGGGGAGGAAAGGGGGAATTTGCCGTATATCCTTCTCCTGCCACACCCACCAAACCACGCCCCACCAAGCCACGCCCACCAAGCCAGGCCCAGAGGACCAGTAGTTTTAAAAAAAATGGAATCCCACCACCGTGGCGAGGCTTCTACCTGAGAAAATCCGGAGCTTTGGAAATCATGTTCTCGAAGTCTGAAAACCCCAGCTTCCCGTCGCCGTCCATGTCCGCTTCTTCGATGACCTTCTCGCAGACCAGGCTAACCTCCTCCTCGGTCAGCTCTTCCTTGGTCAACTTGTTCAGAGTTTGCTCCAGGTCGGATTTGCAAATGAAGTTGTCGGTGTTAAAATCTAGGCAGGCAAAGACAGGAAAGAAAGGGGTGCTCAGAAGGCCTCTTGGCTGCCCTCAACTGGGCTGGGACTACGGCTCCCATACCCTGCACCGTGGTCGATGGGATACGGAGTCCCTTTTTTTTTCTTTTTTAGGGCTTCCTATGTAGCTGCACAGAAACAAATAGATGGGGTCGAATTTTTCTGCTGGGCCAACTATCCAGTATTTGAGGGGCTGTCCCAAAGAAGAGGGAGTCAAGCTATTCTCCAAAGCCCCTGAAGGCAGAAGAAGAAGCAACGGATGGAAACTCATCAAGGAGAGAAGCAACCTAGAACTAAGGAGGAATTTCCTGACAGGGAAGACAATGAACCAGGGGAAAAGCTTGATTCCGGAAGTTGTGGGTGCTTCAACCCTGGAAGTTTGAACAAACATTTGTCTAAACATTGTACAGGGTCTCTTGCTTATTTATTTATTTTATTTGTCAATTACTTACAAGATAATAGGTATAAGTAAAAACATAGTTTTGAATACATGGATACATATAAGAAAAATAGAAGAAATAGGACAGGGACGGTAGGCACGTTGGTGTGCTTATGCACACCCGCTACAAACCTCTTAGGAAAGGGGTGAGATCAATAGGAGACAGTCTAAGGTTAAAGTTTTTGGGGTTTGGGGAAGAAACCACAGAGTCAGGTAGAGTATTCCAGACATTGACCACTCTGTTGCTGAAGTCGTATTTCCTGCAATCAAGTTTGGTGCGGTTAACCTTGAGTTTGTATCTATTGTGTGCTCTTGTGTTGTTATGGTTGAAGCTGAAGTAGTCATTGACTGGTAGGACATGGCACTGTATGATTTTATATACTATACTTAGATCGGACCGAAGACGGCGTAATTCAAGGTTTTCTAGGTCTAGAATTTCAAATCTGGTGGCATAAGAAATTCTGCAACGAGTACAGGAGTGGAGAACTCTTCTTGTGAAATATTTCTGGACTTTCTCCACTGTGTTAATATCGGATACGTAATGTGGGTTCCAGACTGATGAGCTGTATTCGAGTATTGGTCTAGCAAATGTTTTGTATGCTCTAGTTATTAGTGTAATATTACCAGAGAAAAAGCTACATAAGATTATGTTAACAATGCCTTTTTGGCTATGTAGTTACAGTGGGCTCTAGCACTTAGATCATTTGAGATGAGTACTCCAAGGTCCTTTACAGAGCTTGGATCATCAACAAGATCTTGACTATTCAGCCTGTATTTTATTTTCTGATTTATTTATTTTTTTGCCAATATGTAGGACAGAGCATTTATTTGTTGAGATTTGAAGTTGCCATTTGTTTGACCATTCTGACACATAGTCAAGGTCTTTTTGAAGGGTAGTAGTATTGTCTGTGGTGTTGAATAGCTTGACATCATCAGCGAAGAGAACGCAGTTGCTCTTGATATGATCACAGAGGTCATTTATGTAGAGTATGAAGAGAGTTGGTCCTAGAACACTGCCTTGGGGGGACACCACTGTTGACAGGTACAGAATTTGATAGGACGCTCCCAATTTTGACCCTTTGTTCTCTGTTTGACAGGAATGCTTCTATCCAGTTATGCAGGTGTCCAGAGATACCGTAAGATTTTAGTTTTAGGAGTAGTTTGTCGTGTACCACTGAATCAAAGGCTTGAGCCAGAGGTTGGATTAGAAGGACTCCAAGGGTCCCTTCCAACTTGGTTATTCTGTCATTGATCGGTATTTTCCAAGCTCCCAATAAATTTGATCGGTGGGGAAAAAAAATATGCATTGATTTATTTCACGTGGTTTGGACGTCTTAAATTTCAACCAGCCCCGTCAACCCTTCCGTTCCATTTCTCTTGGTTGGAATCTACCCGACATCTGGAGGTGGTGTGTTTCTTCCTCGACTTTCTATCTCTGAAGCTCAATCGTGAATCTACCAAGTGAACAATAGCCTGGTGATTAAAAGGCCAGCTCTGAACATTGGTTTTATTGTGCTTCGCTCAATAAGCAGAATTACCACCAGTTCTATTTAATTACGAACCGGCAGAATGACATTTTGCAGGCTGCATATGGATGGTAAATCTGTCAAGACGGATTTATGGGGGAAAGGTCTGGCATCTGACAGGACTTTCCTGCCAGTGAAGAAAACAAATGACATCCTTCTTGTTTTTTCCCTCCCCCCACAAGTTTTTTGGACCTGTAGCCCTCCAGGAACGGTGTGGTGAAAAGCAGATATTAAACATTAAATTGATGTTGAAGGATGGCTTTGCTGAAGAAGTTTGTGGGGAGGGTGAGTTGGTCATACCGGTAGCTACCAGAGACAATTAAGACAAAAAGTTTTCCACTTGTTCCATAAAATGCAAAATACTTGACGAGAGGTTCACAGAATCACCACACCTCCGAGAGGAAGACATGCACTGGGGACTGAGAATTTTTATCTGCTTATCATAAGGATGCTAGACTGAGTCTGGGGGATTCTGAGAGTTGAAGTCCAGAGTTGACAAAGTTTAAAGACCCCTAACCTGCTATTTATTCCACTCCTTGGCACAAATCTTAAAAAGATTTTAAAGATCTTGCTGAGAATTAGCTGATTCTGATAAGGATACTAGGCCGGGTTCTAACCCAGAGTTTCCAACCTTGGCAACTTTAAGAAACGTGGACTTCAACTCCCAGATTTCCCTAGCCAGCCTGCTTTAAGTTGGTGGACTTCAACTCCCAGAATTCCCCA